CTAGTGCAAAAGCAGCATTATATTGTTGTTTATATGTCACACTAGTGTAAATTGCATTTTAAATGGAAAGAGGGATATCCCCTCCATATCGATAAACCGCAAGAGCATGTGAACATGGAAATATTTTCATCTACCACTTACCACATGTGCACTGATGTTGAAAATAATTGACACTATGTGTATTACCTCCCTTTGCATTTATCTGAAACTTAGTGACAATTTGTAAACACCTTCATTGTAGTGAAACTTAACTATCGTATGACTTTGTGCATGGGTCTCACCAGGTAGACCTGCAAATTGGAGACATGAATACACGACTTCGTGCATGACACAACACGATATGAATACATTTTGAAATAGGAGATAAAGCTCATTTTTCAGTGTATTCAGTTCGTGTCAAATTCAAGTCTGACACGTGAAAACGAAAAGAATACATAAAATGCCAGCTCTAGTCTCACGTTTAAAGAAGAGGTGCCACATACGTGATCAAGGTTGTAGAACTCGTTACTCGGTACCTATTCAGCCGACTACCGAGTAGCAAGTACTCGGGAGTACTCAGATTCGGTAATTCATGTAGAAATATTTTTAGGGAATTTATATATGTCAAAATCATAAGTTAAAATCATAAGTTGATTGAAATATATAACAAAATTAGATACATGTGAATACACAAAAACTGAAAAACACATAATGGTCTCACTCCGTAAATAATTACTTAACATTTAAGATATATATGTAGTAATAATCACATGTGTGTGTTAAATAATAAATCATTAAGTGTATTATACATATTAATCACAGAGTTGACCGAGTTTGACAACACTACTCAGTTCAGTAAGGGGTTGATCAAGGAGTACTTGGGATTCTGTAACTCACCTTGGTAAGGGGCCGAGTAACGAGTACTCGGATGAGTAATCGGCTATCTCGGCGAGTTTTACAACACTGTACGTGATGGTAGAGGTGTGTTACATTTTATTGTAGGAGAATTATGCTTCCAAAATAGTTGTACATTTTTATTGAATGTAAGATTAATACATTCCCTAAATGGTAAATATCTTGCTTCTCGCAACGCATTTTTTATACTCTTAAAGATATTTGTTGTGAATAAATTTCATCAACAATTTTTATCATATAAAGGCACCACTGACTTTTAGGAATTTGTTTTAAATTTTCCTACGGTTCAAGATTGATTTCTTTTATTTCTCTTATACACTTCCCATAAATGTTCCAAGGCTCGCATTATTGTACCTTTTAATTAGATTACTTCTAACGTGTCGAAGACAAAAGCGATGGTATGCTAACGGATCTTTCCATACCTTTATATTTTTCATTGCATGAATTATTACTTTATGTATATCTGAAATAACACATAATTGTCTATCTTGAGGAACATAATGTCTAAAAGGATAGAAAAACCACACCAATTGTGTGAAGTCTCTTCATCCATAATTGCAAAAGCGGCTGGTAATATATAATTTTTGGCATCTTTGGTAACACCAATAAGCATTTTTCCTTCGTATAAACCCTTAAAATGCAACCACCAACATAAATAATATGTCGACATAGATGGAATATACAAATATCAGGTCTATAAGCCCAAAATCATAGTTGAATGTTGCTACATTTGATGAGTCATCTGTATCATGAAACCTTATAAGAATTATACTAGGATTGGAATGGACTTTGGCAACTCAACAAAGTAACTCTCCTAGGTTCCATAAAATTTCTCAATCTCTCTTCGTCTACCATTCTATGTCGTCCCATACGAAACATCAACATGAAAAACATTTTTAATATCTACTTGTATTTGTTTCACCGGATAAGTAACAACTTTTTGAATTGAGTGGATTATGTATGACACAATAGTTTTAGAGTTCAAATTTATGTTATTATTACCTATACATGACCCAAAACATTTTTATACACCCACGCAACGTGTAATCTTCCATATATGATGATTTTTCTTCTTAATTAACAACATAAGCATACCATGCACAATGTTGTATATATAAGACAACACTAGAACTTTCTCCTTCACTTCCTTATGTCTTACACTTTGTTTCCCATAAATTACTTTTACTTTCATTCACTTTGGACTCTCTGTTTTGAGAGATTTACTAAAGTATTATTGCCTTTTTTACTTTTGCTCTACTTTCAAATTCAATTTTGAACATTGTTTTGTTTTGTGATTCTTCCCAAACATCTATATGAATGGTATCTTGAGAAATTTCAATGTCATCATCTCCTAGAACTCCAATATCATTCATAAAGTTCACAACTGGAGTTTCACACACGTCATCTGAATCATCCTCAACATTTCTTTGTGATTCACTTACACTATCATCACTATCACATGAGTTGGGTTCATCAAACCTAAAGTCATCATTTACCTGAAATATATCATCATTGGGAAAAGGAAATGATAGATTTGAGGAATTGGTCACTTGTGAATATATCTCGTTGTGATACATCAAAATTACAAAGCGGATCTATAAAACAAGTATTTATAGGCACTCTTGTTAATTCATGAGATGTTTTTTAATTCCAACAATAACTTTCCCACAATAATTTTGGTCATTCTCACCCAAATATAATAACATCACGTCAACTTGAATCATTTATGAGTCGTGAAATATTATATATGCCACCAAATTGATAGAGGCAAATGAAAGATGAATGAACTTATAATGAGGAAATAATGATGAAAATTTTTAAAGAAAATATGAAATGAATCTACATCTAATAAGCTGAAATTATAGTGTAAAAAGTGGTGAAAGATTTTAAAATACGATGTGACAATTCATATAATCATTTTTTTGGTTATTGAGATATATAGTAAACATAACTTTTGCTTTTGTTTTTGGAGACATATCATCTAACTTTCTTTTGAAATGACAAATCAAATATGATTTATTAAGATATTATTTTAAAATGGTATAAAAATATTATTATATGATTTATAATATGATATATTAATTCTTTATATTTATAATAAGATATTATTGTAGTTCATATACTAGTTAAGGATAAGAAAAAAATAGAGAAACAAACAATTTAACTAAAAATATTTATATAATTTCTAAGCGTTAAAATTAAAAAATAATTATATATTTTCATAGATTTTTAAAAGGGATATATACACTAAAGTCTCAATATTTTCATCGATTTTACAAGAAAGTCCTAAACTTTATTTTTTTTTACAGTAAAGTCCAAATTACCCTTTTTTCCGGTTAGCCTGTAATTAGGACTTTTTTTTTGTCAAAAAAAGAAAGTTTAGGACTTTCTTGTCAAATCGTCCAGTTAGGACTTTACTGTCAAAAAAATAAAGTTTAGGACTTTCTTGTCAAATCGTTGAAAATATTGAGAGTTTAGTACATATCATTTTTTTTGTTAGAAAAGACTTGTAAAGCTTTCTTTTTCTCCATTTTTGGGACTGCAAAAAGCCAACACAACCACAAACAACACATGGCTAGTCAAAAGGGTGTGAATGTGGGTACAGATTATACAAACACAAACAACACATGCCTAGTCAAAAAGGTGTGAATGTGGAGAAGGGCAATTTTGTTTTTTTCGGTTTCTTATTTCTCCATTTCCGGGACTACAAAAAGCCAACACAACCCTGGTTCTTTCTTTCTTTCTTAATTATCTACATTTTTTTAATGTTTGTTTGTTGAGATTAAAAAAACAATTTAACAAGAAGCAAACATTAAGGATTTCAAACGGATCTAGCTGACTAGAGAAGGTTTCAATAACTCTTATGCTTAAAGAGTATTATACCATTAAATTTCTAACAAAAAAATGATATTTACACTAAAGTCCCAATAATTTTCAACTATTTGACAAAAAAGTCTTAAACTTTATTTTTTTTTACAGTAAAGTCTTAATTTACGATTCGACAAAAAAGTCTTAAACTTTATTTTTTTGACAAAAAAGTCCTAATTACCGACTAACCGGAAAAAATGGTAAAAGTTTCTAAAATTGCCGGTAATTTGGAGTTTACTGTCAAAAAAATAAATTTTAGGACTTTTTTGTCAAATCAATGAAAATATTAGGACTTTAATGTATATATCCCACCATTTCCCTTTTTTAAATTCCATATTTAAAAAAGTTCCCCTACTTTTAAAACAAACCATTAAAACTGGCCCTACTTTTCAAACAAGATTTTTAAAATACGCTATTCAAAAAAAAATCTCAAAATATAAAGCCTTATTTGTTCCTTTGCAACAATGCCAATTCTTACAAGACTTCTTCCAACGATTACGACAAGACAAAGAATACGAGAATGAGCAATTGTTTCAGATTGCTCTGAGATTGGCGCAATGATTAGATCTCAAGAAAAAGAAAATGTTGACTTGACTGAAGAAACAGTCGAATAGTTGGTGTGCAAAACAAATTTACAGGAAAAACTTGGTCAATCATGTGAAGATAAGGACAGTAAAATGTACAGAATATCCAGCATCATCAACGATGGTATGTACTAAAATAGACACTGAATAACATGAAACAAGAAAATTATTTTAGCAAAAAAATGGTAAAAAAAGAATTAATCATGATAGCAGCTGTGTGTTTCTCTGATGGCGTTTCAGACATTGTCTTGACTTGTTCTACCCTTTCAATATTTTCAGTAGTAAAAAGAGTCAAATATGAACAACTAATTTATTTTTTACCAAGGAATTTTGATGTTGCACTACATTTATTAATTATAAATTCTTTTGTAGGACGTTCCCATCCCATCCCCACTGACCCATGACACAATGTGAACATTCGTTTTTTTTTTCTTCCTGGATTGTAATATGGAATATAATTCAAAGTGTAATACATTTCTTGGTGGAAATTAAATATGACACTGACATAAAAGACACGCTGTATGAAAAATATGACATTGACCAAGATTTTTTTCTTGAAAATAGAGAAATAAAAAACAGAAAATGGTTGGTCAAGTATAAATTAAAGGGACACAAACCATCATTTTTCAAAACATGACACACCAAAGCAAGATAATGTTGTCTTCAAACTTGTTACTCTTCTCTCTAGCTATATTAATCATTACACTCCTCCGAATACCAAATATTGCTTATGCATCTTTGGAGGAAACCAATGCTTTACTTGAATGGAAATCAAGCCTTCAAATCCCCAGCAACTCCTTGCTCTCTTCATGGATTCCCCTCCCTATGAATTCCAGTGCATCAGTTCCATCCACTTCTTGGTTTGGAGTAGTTTGCATTGCTGATTGGAGCATTCAGAGGTTGAACCTCAGTTCTCTAGTATAACAATAGTAAAGACACAGACAAATATATATATATCAAAATATCTCTTTGATTGATTGGAAATATAACTCAAAAACCAATTACATATATATGTGTATATGTCTATGTATGTTGCTGTGTTTTTGGTGTGTTTACCCTCTTGGTAATACACTGAATATATAGGATTGATAGAATCATTTTAATCCTATAATTAATACACATGAGACCCAACCACTTGTTGGTATCCCTTACTTTGTTCCAGAAATTGTGTTAGCCTTTTAGGAGTGGAAGACATGGGTGGAGGGAGATGATGACTTAAGATTCCAACAATCACCCCCGAATCTCTAAGTCCTTCTAGAGATTCCCGATCACTGCCAATCTTTAAGTCCTTCTAAAGATGTCTTCGATCCCGATCAAGTCCCGCATTGTCTTGAACTTGGTTCGAGCCAATGGTTTTGTGAGAATGTCTGCCTTTTGTTCTTCACCTGGAATGTACTTCACCTCCACTTGTTCCTTTTCAACACACTTACGGATGAAGTGAAACCTCGTGTGAATGTGTTTGCTTCTTCCGTGAAAAACAGGATTCTTCGTGAGTTCGATAGCTGACTTGTTATCAACTCTTAGGACCACCTTCTCTTGTGCTTTGTTCATGATTTCGCCTAGCAAATCTTGAAGCCATATTGCTTGACATGCAGCCGCAGTTGCAGCCATGAACTCCGCCTCGCAAGATGATAAAGCAACAGTATCTTGCTTTTGAGAACACCATGTTATTGGAGACAACCCATAGTAGAAAATGTGACCGGTTGTGCTTCTTCCGTCGTCCGGGTCGACATTGTGACTACTATCGCTGTAACCAATGATCCGGTTTTGCCCCATCCTCTCGTACTTGATTCCATGTGACGTTGTTCCACATAAGTACCTTAGGATGTGTTTGATTGCAACACCATGTGATTCTCTTGGATTTTGCATGTATCGACTAACAACTCCAACCGCATATGCCATATCGGGTCTTGTCTGCAAGAGATATCTAAGGCATCCTACCAACTTTCGGTATTGTGTCGGGTCGATTTCGGGTTCATCTTCGGCCTTCGACATTTTGGTTCCTGGATCCATAGGAATGTGGGTCGGATTGCAATCGTGTAAACCGGCTTCTTTTAGAATGCGTCTAGCATACGCTTCTTGGTTAATAGTAATCCCTGATTCTTCTTGTTTGACTTCAATGCCCAGGTAGTAAGTTAATCTTCCAAGATCAGACATCTCGAAGTTCTTGGACATTTCAAATTTGAACCTTTTGATCATGCTCAAATTTGTACCTGTGACAAACAAATCATCAACATAGATTGCTAAAATTAGCAAGTTGGATCCTTCGTTCTTCCGGTACACCGATGGTTCTTTCATGCACTTATGAAATTTCATTCCTTTCAAAATCCCATCAAGTTTTGTATTCCATGCTCTCGGTGCTTGTCTAAGACCATATAGTGCTTTTGAAAGACGGTACACCTTGTGCTCGTCGCCTTTCCTTATGTAGCCTTCCGGTTGATACACATAGACGGTTTCTTTCAACTCTCCATGTAAGAAAGCCGTCTTGACATCCAAGTGGTGAAGCTCCCATCCATTGGTAGCGGCTAAGGCAATGAGAAACTGTATGGTTTCGATGCGAGCTACCGGAGCAAATACTTCTTGAAAGTCAATACCAGGTTGTTGTACGTACCCTTTAGCAACCAACCTCGCCTTGTGTTTGTTTATGGTGCCATCTGCATTTTTCTTCAGCTTGAACACCCATTTGAGTCCAATGGGCTTCTCCCCCATAGGTTTGTTTACGAGAGACCAAGTATTGTTCTTGTTGATTGAATTGATCTCTGTATTCATGGCTTTGACCCACTCTGGTTCTTTCTTCGCCTCTTCAACCGATATCGGCTCGTCATTGGTTGCTAGGAGAAGTTCTTCAATTTCATCAACATAAAGTACATAATCTCGTAATCGAATTGGAAGCACCTTTTGTCTTGTGGGCCTTTGGTTTTGAACATTGTTCACGTTGTTGTTGATCGGACTTGGTTGCTCATTTTCTTGTACCTCCACTCCGTCTTCAATCTCGTGATCTGATTCGTTTGGTTCGTTGTTTACTTCGTTTCCTTGGTTGTTGTTTGCCTTATCTTCCGGTAAATCCCATGGTACTATGAATGATCCTGGTTCTTCATTGTCAGGTGTAGTTTCGTTAACCCAATTCCATCCTTTGGTTTCATTAAAAATAACGTCTCGACTTACGATTATTTTTTGTGTAACCGGGTTAAATAACCGATAGGCTTTTGTACCCGGTTCAGAACCAAGATGAACCAATGGTCTTGATCTTGCATCCAATTTTTTCACGTTTACCGGTTCAACTTTTGCATACGCTAAACACCCAAAGATGCGTACGTTCTCCAAATTAGGTTTTCTTTTATACAACTTCTCGTACGGAGTTGTATCACCAAGTACTCTTGTGTAAACACGGTTGACCAGGTTTGTGGAATGTTTTACCGCTTCTCCCCATAGATAGTTTGGAACATGCATCGCCTTCATGATACTTCGTGTCATGTCCATAAGTGTTCTGTTTCTTCGTTCCACAATACCGTTTTGTTGTGGTGAATATGGGGCGGTAAGATGGCGTTTGATTCCATTCATATCACAAAAAGAATTAAACTCGAGCGAAGTAAACTCACCTCCTCGATCACTTCGAAACACCTTTAAAGACTTTCCGAGCTTATTCTCCGCCAAAGCTTTAAATTTTTTGAAGTGAAAAAATGCCTCATTTTTCTCTTTTAAGAGAAAAATCCACATATACCGTGAAAAATCGTCAATTAGTGTGAAAATGTATCGATTTTGACCCTTCGTTGACGGTGTTATCGGACCACATAAATCACCGTGAACTAGCTCCAATGGCCGTGTTGCTTTGTACGTCGTCATTAATGGAAATGACTTTCTTGTTTGCTTGCCCACCAAACAAGATTCACACAATTGATTTTCACTGTCAAAATGGGGTAACCCTTTGACTAGACCTTTCTTGGACATCTTTTTCATTGACTCGAAATTGATGTGTCCAAGTCTTGCATGCCAGCGCCACGTGTCTTCACTCAGTCTTGTATGAAGGCAAATAGGTACTCCAATAGGCAACTGTATTTTATAAAGGCGATTTGGAGTTCTTTGTACCTTCATTAATAAGCAGTTGTCGGCATCATGCATCGTTAAATAGTTGTCTTTCATCCGAATATCACACCCGGCTTCTGTTGCTTGTCCGAGACTGAAAATATTATTTTTCAAATCTGGAATGAAATAAATCTCCGTTATCAATCGTTGTTGCTCCGATTTTCCTTGGAAAACAATTGAGCCTTTCCCTTTTATTTCGACACACGAATTATCACCGAATTTGACCTTTCCGGTTATTCCTTCGTCGAGTTCGGAGAAAAATGAACGATTTCCCGTCATGTGATTACTTGCCCCGTTGTCCAAATACCACACATCGTTTTCTTGTGAGTTGTATCGAGACGGTATCACCTTCTCTTCGTTCAAAAATACGGACTCGTGTAGAAATACTGTTTCATCGGCATCGTCGTGTTCAGTAAAATTACTTTCTTGGAATTTTTGGGTTCGGTCCGGACATTTGGATGCGTAATGGCCCGATTTATCGCATCTGTAACAAATAGTTTTTGACATATCTTTTTTCGGGTTACGGTTCGAGTCCGAATTAGAATTGGGCTTGTTTTTGGGCTTATTAGGGTTTTGGGCCGAACTGGGCCGGTTTCCTCTTGGGCCTGACCCACTGGGTCCTGCTGACCCGGATCCTCCACCCGACCCGGATCTGTTTCGATTAACCCCCCCACCTTCACCCGATTTCGCCCATTTCCCCTTCGACTCTGTCGATCCACCTGAAGAGCCACAGCCACCGCCGCTGCTCGAGCTACCACTCGATCTCGAGGCAAACAACACCTTCGCGCCTCCTTCTCCGCTGTCATCCGCCTCCCTTATTCTTTCCTCGTACGCCTTCAGACGTCCGACTATGTCCTCGAAGCCAAACGATTTTAGATCGAGCACCTGCTCGAGGGATGCCACCAGATGGATGAATCGCCTGGGAACAACCTTCAGAAGCTTCTTCACAAGCTTCGACTCTTCAATTGTTTCACCAAGCGATGCAGATTTCGAAGCTAAACCGGAGAGCTTTCTGGTGAAAGAGTCGATGGTCTCCGTTTCATTCATCCTCAACCGATCGAAATCGGTGTTCAGGGTTTGAAGCCGGGCTTCTTTCACCCGATCAGCGCCAACGTGACGGGCCTTGATTGCTTCCCAGAGAGCCTTTGCGGAGCTGACATCCCCAATTTGCATCACAAGTACTTCGGGAATTGCTTGATATAGTAAGCCTACTGCTAAGCAGTCTTTTTCTTCAACTTTAGTTGTTCCAGGTTCGATTTCTGACCAAACCTTGTGTATACGCAGGACGACCTTCATGCGTAGAGCCCAGACAGTGTAATTTGTCTGGGTTAACATTGGGCAGGCTACCGATGTGGTTCCGACTTCCTTGATTCTCGTCGGAGGAGCAGCAGCACCCCCACTTCGATCATCTTCAACATCGGGACATTTTAAACAGATAAGCTTCCTTGATTTCTCAGTTCCCCTTGACGGATTTCAAGGCTCTGATACCAATTCTAGTATAACAATAGTAAAGACACAGACAAATATATATATATATATATCAAAATATCTCTTTGATTGATTGGAAATATAACTCAAAAACCAATTACATATATATGTGTATATGTCTATGTATGTTGCTGTGTTTTTGGTGTGTTTACCCTCTTGGTAATACACTGAATATATAGGATTGATAGAATCATTTTAATCCTATAATTAATACACATGAGACCCAACCACTTGTTGGTGTCCCTTACTTTGTTCCAGAAATTGTGTTAGCCTTTTAGGAGTGGAAGACATGGGTGGAGGGAGATGATGACTTAAGATTCCAACAAGTTCATCTGGATTAAAAGGTACACTCCACCAATTTGCATTCTCTTTCTTACGAAATCTTACACATTTTGATCTCAGTGTTAACAACTTCTTTGGCCCCATCCCACCAGAAATCAGACTCCTAACAAAACTTGTATATCTTGATTTATCATTGAATAAGTTTTCTGGAATAATCCTATCTGAAATAGGAAATTTGCACCAGCTAACCATCTTGTACATATACTCAAACAATATATCTGGATCAATACCTATTGAACTTGGGAATTTAAAGTCTCTCACTGAACTTGAGGTGAGCAACAATCAACTTAATGGTTCAATTCCTTCATCACTAGGAAACCTGGACAATGTACAACGCCTGATCCTCAAGGATAATAACTTTTCTGGTCCCATTCCTACTGAACTTGGGAATTTGCAGTCTCTCACTCATCTTGGGGTGAGCAACAATCAACTTAGTGGTTCTATTCCTTCATCATTAGGTGGTTTGACTTCTTTAATTGCCCTTTATATGCATTACAATCAGCTTTCTGGTCCCGCTCCTATCCAAATTGTGAATTTGAAATCTCTTAGTGATCTTAGGATGAACAACAATCAAATTAGTGGTTTTATTCCTCCCGGAGTTTGGAAATTCAACTAAACTTCAGAGGCTTGATCTGTCTTCGGATCATTTGGTTGGTGAGATCCCAAAGGAGTTTGGGAAGATGAAAAGTATGTTGTATTTGTATTTGGCTGGCAACCAACTTTCAGGTATCATACCTCTGGAGCTTCAATTCTATGAATTCCTTGAAACACTTGATCTGTCTGGAAATAGATTGAATGGGTCGATACCAAAAAGTATTGGTCGTTGGGCACACATCCACTACTTGAATCTTAGTAATAACCAGCTTAGTGAGAAAATTCCATCCGAGATTGGTAAATTAGGTCAACTTACAGAACTTGATTTGTCTCAGAATTTGCTTACAGAAGAGATACCATCTGAAGTTCAAAGTTTGAAAAATCTGCAAAAATTGAACCTTTCTCAGAATAGACTATCAGGTTCTATTCCAAACGCTTTTACTAGTTTGCCTAGTGGGATTGACATCGATTTGTCTAAAAATGAGCTCACAGGTCCAGTTCCGTTTTGCTCTAACTTTGTAAATGCATCCTTATAAGGCAATCTAGGTTTGTGTGGAAATTTTACAGGACTAAAGTTTTGTGCAAGTCCAATATTGAAGAAGAAAAATGATCCCTTACGTCATCAACTCATTTTTTGTAACTATGCTCCCTCTTATTGGTATAATTTTACTTGGTTTATATGTGTGTGGCCTCATTGTTTGTAGAAAACAAATGATACATTCTCCACAGAACCCATTCGACGAAGAGGGCGGTGATCATTTCTCCATAACAAATTTTGATGGGGGAGTAGTGTATGATGATATCTTGAAGGCGAAAAATGATTTCGATGAAGCATATTATATTGGGACCGGAGGATACGGGGCTGTGTACAAAACCGAGTTACAACCTAACAATGTGGTAGCTGTCAAGAAACTTCATTCATCATCTGGGAATGTTGACCATAATGTTTCTTAATGAGGTACGAGCATTAACGAACATAAGGCATCGAAACATAGTGAAACTCTATGGATATTGCTCCCATGCCCGCCACTCATTTTTGATTTATGAATACCTTGAAAAGGGAAGCCTTGGATCAATCTTAAGAAGCGATGACTTAGCAAAAGATCTAGATTGGTTAGGGTCAATATTGTGAAGGCTATAGCTAATGGTTTGGCTTATATGCATCACGACTGCTCACCTCCTATAATTCATAGAGACATTTCCATTGCCAACATCCTTCTTGATTCTGATTATGAGGCACATATTTCTGATTTTGGCACGTCGAAGCTTTTAAAGCTAGACTCATCCAACTGTACCACAATTGTCGGCTCATATGGTTATATCGCGCCAGGTAACGTAATCTT